AGGATTCGAAGGAGAAAAAGGATAAAAAGTGTATTCTTTGAAACATTTAGAACTTAATAGTAGTGTGCTACCTACAAGCTTAAAATGGCCCATGCACAGCTGGATCTTAACCAGCCAAGCACCAAACTTAAGGAATTTTTCACTATAAGAACCGAGGGGAAGGATTTTATGCCCACCACCCAGAGGGGTGTCAAGAAATCGATTTCGGGGATATCAAAACTGCCCGAGACAGGCGGAGGTATTATCTGCTATGAGGGTACAAGGGTACCCCATAGAGAAGATCTATGGTCTCCAAAATGGAGGACGGAATAAATTTATTATATACCCGAAGCATCCTGACATTCCGATAATAAAAGAAAACCAAATAATAGTTAAGGGAATTAGTGCAAGGGTAGGGAAGACAAAACCTATATGCAGAGAAATTGAGGGGAGAAAAACAGATGTATTTATCACTGGACTTTTCTAGAAATAAACAATGAAGAAATGATTAAGAAAATTCAGCGAAAAATGAAAATTGTAGTTGTTGCTGAAAGATTAGCAATGGTTTGGGGTTTCCCAGGAGTAAAAATGGGAGTGAGGGTCATCACAGTAAAAAGTGAAGACGCCAAAAGCATTCCAGATTTCTTCTATGTTAAGGGATTTTTGCTTAAGTCATGATGCCAAGGTTTAGAGCAAGATAGGATTTGTAAATGTGTGGGACATCTTGCACAGATTGCAAACCAAAACCCCACAACTGAACAAGAACAAAGGCCTACTGAGCTGAACCTAGTGAGCAAATCATTGAAGTTCATGCACTGGAGGAGGTAGAAGAAACTGAACAAGAACAGTGCTCACTTGAGCTAGGACAAGAAGAAAATAAGAACAATACAAGGATTAAGGAGGGGCAGCAATGGTAGTTCACTATCAACATCAACAGACTGCAGAGTAACTATGGAAGGTCTACATGCCTGACATCAATTTTAAGAACAACACAAGCCCAAAACAACTGAGTTCACAAATATATCCATATTTTTAATTAGTAAACAATAATAGCTGAAAGTCACATCTTTGCCTTAAGTTAAGAAATTTGCCAATGTCCAATTTAGGAAACTTGACCCTGCCACCACACTGTTGGATTCTCATGGGTTTTAGACACCTTATGGTTTGGAATAAATTGGTTAGAAAAAATATACAATAATAAATATCAAGAATATGTTATTTACACATCAAAACTATTCACTGATAAAAACAACAAATATATGTTATTTACACATAGAAATATATACTGATAATAATGTTATTTACATTTGGTATATCAATGGTGCTCAAATTGCACAGATGTAGTAAATAAAATGAATTCCATTAATTTAATATATATGATACAGTAGCTTGGGTTTTCTCTTTAATTTTATTTATTGAGTCACCATGACATCAATTCATGCAAGGGTGGACATCTATGTAATGTGCTTTAGGGTATGTTGATTTAGTCATGTAGACACATTTACTTATCTTAAATGAAATAATATTTGCTGTTCTAAACTTTAATAATAATAATAATAATAATAATAATAATAATAATAATAATAATAATAATAATAATAATAATAATATAATATCATGACCAGACTCTATTCAGTCCTGATTATTGAATGTTTGCACCTTACCCATCATCAAGAAACTTCCAGAGGTGAAAATTATTGATCACTGTGGACTCTTGCAGTGGTGCCCAAGTTATAATTTTTCATATGTACAGCTTTGATTGTGACATCACAATATGCAAATTTAATCTGGTTTACCTATGGTTTGACCATGTCCAAACTTGTCCACATACTTTAACATTGAGTTTGGCACATGTATTAGTCAGGGTGTGTGTAAATAATGTCCATTCAAAGTAATATGGATATTTGAGGATCCAAACAAAGTTAATAATTGTTATATAAGTTATATGTAATTAAATTTTAAAAAATCTAGGCACATTGCTCAAACAGTCCTACTGAAGTCATTCTTAACCTGCCTGACCAACAACTCCTAACTCCTCAATTCACCCAGCAATAAAAAACCCATACAAAAGGGTGGGAAATTATGCACTAAGCTGGTAATTACAGTCTTTAAACTGGATTAGTTGCAGATAGAAGGACTGCTAAGATTCTTTCAGTGCTATACCTTATTACTGCCCTAAGGGATTGACCTTTGGTTTAAATTGTCCATAAACTTTAACCTTGAATTTGGTCACATGTATTTGTCTGGGCTTAGGTGAATAATGTCCTTTCAAAGTAATATGGATGTAGGTAGATCCAAACAAAGTTAATAATTGTTATTTGAGGTATTTGTCATTAGTTGAATGGTTTAATTATGTTTAATTGATTGACTCATTAAACCCTAAAGGGCTTCAAGAAAGTGGAATCACCCAGAAGTCAGAGTAATTAGTTAAATGGTTTGAGTTTAAGTTTAATTGATTGACACATTAAACCCTAAAGGGCTTCAAGAATGTGGGATTACAGAGAAGTCTGTGTAATTAGTTAAATGGTTTAATTGAGTTTAATTGATTGACACATTAAACCCTTAAGCACTTCCAGAAGGTGGGATCACAGAGACATCTGTATAATTAGTTGAAGTGTTTAATTGATTGACACATTAAACCCTAAAGAGCTTCAAGAAGGTGGGATCACAGAGATACAGGTAAAGAGTAAGATAGTATGACAGGAATCTATATTGTAATAGTTGTCCTCAACAAATCAGAATATGAAGTGTAAATCAGTTACATGCATTTAAAAAATCAACTACTGAGCTCAACCCCACCCCCAAAACAATTCTAATTTTTTGCTTACTAGTTTGAGTCCTTATTCCAACAAAGATTTCATTTTTAATTGATTGACACAGTAAACCCTAAAGGGATTTCACTTGTTTGCCCACTACCAGTAGTTTGAGTCCTCGTTTCAAGAAATACTTAATAACTTTGCCAACAAGTCAGAGCCTTGCTTTCCAAGAAACATTTTACTTTTTTGACGGCTTGAGTCCTCATTCCATCATTCTTAGCCCACAAGTTTGAGTTTGAATCCTGATTCCAGCAAACAGTGCACTAATCTGCCTACTTGTTTGAGTCCTCATTCCATCATTCTTAGCCCACAAGTTTGAGTTTGAATCCTGATTCCAGCAAACAGTGCACTAATCTGCCTACTTGTTTGAGTCCTCATTCCATCATTCTTAGCCCACAAGTTTGAGTTTGAATCCTGATTCCAGCAAACAGTGCACTAATCTGCCTACTTGTTTGAGTCCTCATTCCAACAATCATATCACTTTTTTACCCACTTGAATCTTCATTCCAAGAAACATTTCACTTCCTTGCACACTTGTTGGAGTCCTCATTCCAACAAACATTTCTTGTCTTTGCCCAAAAGTTTAAGACTTCATTTCAACCAATATTCCACTTTGCCCATAAGTTTGAGTCTTCATTCCAGCAAACTGATAATTTGTATAGACCTTTTTGAACTTATGTTAGTAATTATGCACATTTAATTAGCATCATTGTAACACATTTGGGCTAAGGAAGCAGAGTGCTGACATTAAAATGGCATGAGTGTTGTAGGGATGTAGATTGGATTGAACTGTGAATAACCTCATAATTACACATACCATGACCTTGAATTTTTTTTTACAAAACTTTATCATATGAGACTATGGATTCAAACAAATGAGTGTTTTGACTTAAGTATCACAAAAGCAAAAAAAAATAAAAATAAAGGCTTTTGCATATTGGACATAATTAGGGCTTTGATTTAGTTATATGTCACTTGCAACACATTATTGGGCACTTGCAACACATTATTAGGCACTTGTAACATCTCTTGGCAATTGTAATATTATTAGGCACTTGTAAAACATTATTAGGCATTTGTTACACATTATTCTGAACTTGTAACATTATTAGGTACTTGTAACACATTATTAGGTACTTATGACACATTAGGCACTTGCAACACATTATTCTGAACTTGTAACATTATTAGGCACTTGTAACACTTTATTAGGCACTTGTAACACATTATTAGATGTATAATGGCAGGAGTGCCTCCCAAAGACACTCCTAGGCAGCTGACCTTGGTGAGTATCCAACCCACAACCATTGGGTTAAGAATCAGATGTTCTCCCAATTGAGCTTTTGCAACTTCCTGAACTTTGACACAGATGATAAAATTACAACTGATTACTGTATATACTCCCTTATTAGTCCAGTCCAACTGTAAGCATCATGGACACTGCTCTGCTATTGCACAGTGCATTGGCAGATCAAGATCTAAGTAGAGCTGATTAGGCCTGATAAACTGCATACCCAGTAGGTCCAAATCTACCAGTACATTATGCAATGGTAGTCTATTCAGTTTGGTGTTGGCTCTGATTTATAAGCAAGTATATATGGTAAATAAATTTTCTTGCTGTAATCATTGGTAGAATGTTTTAATTTATTTACCTCAAGAGAATATGATCCTGGAGAAAGGGATAATTTTGATGAACTGCTTTATGGAATATTTTGACCTTACTAGAGGCTGAATGTGACCTTATTTTAAAGCTGTGCATTCTGTATGAAAAGCAGAGATAGTTTTCTTCCAATGATTGGCCACAGAATGGAAGGAGGGAAGCGTATATCTACATGAAGTCTGGCAAGATTTATCAGGGTAATTAGAGTTAATGGAATTTAAAATTTCTTAAAACATGTCAGTAGTACAAATAATCTTTGTCCCCTTGCTTTGAAAGTGTGTGTGTGTGTGTGTGTGTGTGTGTGTGAGATTTGGATTTTTTAATGTAGCTATACAAAATTTTCAGTCATATCGCTGCGATGTCTGCAGTGTGGTAGTTTATAACACTTGATATCTATTACAAGCGCATCATGCCGCATATATGTAGCATCATGACCAACCCAGTCACATCATCTTGACACCAAGCTGACAACCCCTAACACTAACTTTTTAATGCTGAACTCCTATTGAGCAGCTTGTTCATACCATTTTTTAAAGTCTTTGGTATGACTCAGCCAGGGTTTAAACCCACATCCTTCCGCATCTGAGGTGGACACTCTAACCAATAGACTACTGGAACAGTCTGTTTAAGGAGAAGACTGTAAATTTGAGTATGTTGATTTTGAGGAAAAGAAAAACTATAAATAGAATTTGATATACCTCATCATGCCATTTCAGATGTGTCATTGGGATTTGGATGGGTGGGGATGGCATAATGTCCAGTGGTCATAGCTGGGAAATTGAATATGAATGCAATTTGATGCATGTCCCCCAGAGTTAAAATAACACATATTCTTAAAGGTATATTAAAGGCATACAAGCCATTTGGTCAAGTACCATCCAAAAAGCCTCATTGATATAGATAATTGTCATAAAAATACAGTGGGTATGGCAGAGCACTTTGGCAACATCATTTAAGGTGTAGGTGGGTTATTACTGGGGGTGGGGGAGTTGGGGATGGGGACATTGAAACTGATTGATACATATGTTAACAATAATTGAGGTCATGATTAAAATGTGATGTGAAAAAATAAAATTTAAAAAGAAGTGTATATATTTTCTTCAGTTAAAACAAACCTTACATTTACAGGAAATACTTGAGGAATTGGTCGATGTTTATTTGATGTCTTTGACTGTTGAATTTGGCCAGTCATGTCAGTTTTTGTGCTGTCAGAGTCATGTTCTGTCAGGTCTTTTAATTAAATGTTAATTTTTTTTGATTTTTATGCTAAATAGGAAGGGTTGTTGTACCATGCTCAGCATATCAGTCATTCTGTTAATTGTTCACTCTTCTTGCATTTGGCCATTGTGGCAGATCCTCTACATTAAGATCCAGGCAGTTATTTTGAGGCTGGCCTTTGCTCATTAATATCTAGATGGAACCTTTCTTGGGTTCATCGGCTTTTATACTGTAGTCTCTACAGAGTTGCTTCCCTTTATGTAAGATAGAGAGTAATTAATGATGGAACAAATCCTCCCATTTTCCTATCATAGCTTGCAACTTGCTGGTAAATTAAATAATTGTTATAAAATAGATTAGATTACAACAGATTTATGTATATTATGAATGTGTCCGTAAAGTTTTAGTGAAGATTTTGAGAACATTGATGACGATACTGTTAGGAATTATTATCATCATACATGTAATCTACATTTAAAAGATCTTCCCCTGTTACGAATGTTGGAGTATAGCTTCAAAAAAGAACCTTACCCTTAAAACAGTTTTTCTACTCTCCCTATTATCACTGAGGTTAAGAAGTGAAATCCATGCCTTGTCTGTTCAGAAAGGTTGTTTATACTTAACTAGTAACTATGATTCAGTTTCTCATCTTTTACAACAATTGTGTCTGGTAAATTATCAGATACTGTCAGTTGTTCCTGTTCCTATTGAAATTCCCTGTTTCAATCATCCTTTTGCTGTGGATGATATAGATGGGCTCCTTTGAACAATCAGGCCATTAAGGTTTGCTTAAAGCTTCCTCTTTAAGGAGAAGGAAAGATCTCAGTGACTCATGGTACTGTTATGGTTTGGAAAAATGGGAACCAGTCTAGAAATGGGTGAAGATAAAATAGATTAAATATAAGTTTGGCTGGCCAGGATTGGTTAATAATGAAAGTTAGATTTTAGTAAAAATAATCTTTTGAAAGCTTATTCCAGCTTTAACTGAAAACAAGATCTTGCTTTATTGATGGAATTTCAAGCCTTGAGCTGGGAACACTTATTATTGAAATTGACTGACTCTTTCCAGTGGAATTGAAAGCTCATTTCAAACACATAGATCCAGAAAGTGCAGCTGCTCATGTTTTTTTTTCTCCACAGAATCTGTCATCCAGGACGCATCTATTCTGATAACTATAGGCTTGATCATAAGCACTTAGAAATTTAAAATTATTGAATTTTTAATGTCTTGGTGTTTGGATAAGTTTACTGTGGGTACTGAATTGATAGGTTAAGCCTTCAAGGCTTCCTTTGATATTGTGGTAGCCATAATTACCAAATGGAGTGAAGGCAATTATTCCTGGGGTCAGATTGTGACAGCACAGCACATGCCCCAATGCCATCTACCACCCTACTGTAGTAAACTCTTCTTTAGTGAGAATAAGTGCACTTCTTTTACACAAGTTGTTTTTTAGAGGCCTTTCCTACTAATTAGTAAGAGTCAGCAATGTGCAAGGTATTGTATTACTGCTATTAAAATTAATTGGGGGTGTAAAATTAATTTGAATTATGTAATCATATTGCAGTGATTTCCACATCCCACTCTCAGTCCAAGTCAGAAGAGGAATATGTTCTTTATATTGGCAATGACTTAGTAATCAGAATGGTAAAATGTTCCTTTTAATTTTTGTCCTCCAATTACTATTTGGAGGAGGGAAAATAAAGCTTTGAATGAGAGGACTCAGCATGCAGAAAATTCATGCAGAATTAGGTGGTAAATATTATGTGGGTAGCCTAATAGTTTAATTACCGATCCTAAAGTATCATCATTAACATAAAAAGTAAAAAATGTTTAAAATAATGGGATGAGCAACTTTAATAGAAAATAAAACATAAAAATTACAAGTAAAAAAGAATTGAAAAAGGTTGGGCTGATGCCACAAGTGTTGAACTTGTGAGCTTGAATGAAATGGCAGCTGGGATATATAGAAAGAAAGACAAGTACAAGTATTCCTATATAAGATTAAAATTAGTTTTATTTGTCCAAAATTGCATTTTAATTTACAAACATCATTATAAACAAGTGCAAAATTTAGTATGTGCAAATATTTTGATGCAATATGAGGAATGTATGTTTGCATAAAGATTTACTTCCTAATCATATAACCAGCAAGAAGTGCCATATTGTCATCAGTGTGGAATACCGCATTACCATCATCAAGATGTGCCATCAGTGTGTGGTACCACATTACCATCAGCAAGATGTGCCACATTATCATCAGTGTGTGGTACCACATTACCATCAGCAAGATGTGCCACATCATCAGTGTGAGGTACCACATTACCATCAGCAAGATGTGCCACATTATCATCAGTGTGTGGTACCACATTACCATCAGCAAGATGTGCCACATTATCATCAGTGTGTGGTACCACATTACCATCAGCAAGATGTGCCACATTATCATCAGTGTGTGGTACCACATTATCACCAGCAAGATATGCCACATTATTAATAGTGAGATGTGCCACAATATCACTATCAAAATGTGAACCATTTTCACTAGTTAGATGTGACACAGTATCACCACCAAGATTTTCCACTTTGTTCCTAGTGTCACAATATTACCACCAAAATGTGCCACTTTCAACAGTGAGATGTGCCATATCAAAAGTTAGATGTGCCACCTAATGACCACCAAGATGTGCCATCTTGCCACTAGTGAAAGGTGCCACATTATAACCAGTAAGATGTGCCACCATTATCACAAGTGAAAGTTTCCATTTTAAGTTTATCGAAAGAGAAAGGGGGTTACTTCAGTATGTGGCATAGCACCAGCATATAGCAAATATTGTGTGGTCCTTAGCCAAATAATGTCCAGTCTTTGTTTTGATTATCTGTTTAGCAAAACTTTCATAATTTGCACCATATCTTTGCATTCAGTGATGATTTATACAATATTTCAAAATAAAATTTTCGCATTAATTATATTTTAGTGCAGCAGTATATTTTGAATAAGTCAGAGATAATTAATAAGGTTTAGAAATTCTGATTCTATTGTTTTTAAATCTGGGTCAATTATGATATTTTAGAGCCAAAATTCAGTGTTAACTCCAGTAAAGAATTGAGTGGTCAGAGTCTGAAACCTGACAGTTGTTGTGCATTACTTAGCATCAGGATCTTTATCCTTTATGAGTTTTTGTCCTAGATGGATTGATTATATATATATATATATATATATATATATATATATATATATATATATATATATATATATATATATATATATATCTGCTCATAACAGACATCATTGAAAGGACAGATTTGCTTTCAAATGTCATCACCATGTAAATGAAAAATGACAGATCTGTTCATAATGGACATTACCTTATGAAGAGCAGATCTTATAATCGACAGATGTAAAGGACAGATTGACTATAAAGGACACTGCCATATGAAAGACACATATTTTCATTAAGGATACCACCATTAAAAGTACAGATCTGTTTATAATGAACACCATCATATAAAGGATAAATCTGCATAAATGGGACACCATCACTAAAAGGGACATTAATTCTTTATCCTAATTTTGTGTTGCTCTTCTGTATAAGGTCATAATTTCATAAAGGCAAAACATGGTGGGCCCTTGAATCTTTTTTATGGACAGATTTCACTGAAGTTAAATGTAATTGTTTCTCACTGTTCTCTGTGAAAATTTATTTTTTGTTGTTATCTTTAAAAAATTAATTGGTTTGACAAATATTCAAATTTAAATGTCATGTTAGCTGCATTTTCAGTGTGGATGCTGTGCAAATGATGCCTAAGATATAAGTAGAGGAGAAAATTTTAGACTGAGTGCTTGTTAAGTTTTTGCTATTCATATTGTGACTGTATTGAGAAATTTTGAGAACCAGTCAAACAGATTCACAATACTCCCATGGAGACTGGTTACATTGTCAGTCATTAAAATTGTCTCATTATTTAGAATCTATGGCCTTTCTACCAAACCATTTTGCTACTGGATGCACATGAACTCAGAATATCTGCTAATGACTTTTTCAGGTCTATGCATGATTAGATTGGGGAAAAGACCAAAATGAGTTTTGTGTATGATCAAAGAAAGGAAAGTGGCAAAGCATTTTGTGGCAAAATATTTCCTGTACCAAAGAACCAAAATGAATTTTCAATATTGTATGTTCGTGCATGGGATGAGTGTAGGAAATGTTAATTATGAAAGTTTTACCCATAATTTTTTCCACATCTATATCTATAAATTTTGGCATTTAGATCACTTTTCAGCAGGTGAATACAAATGGCTTTATTATATATAATATGATATGATATGATATGATATGATATGACATGACATGACATGACAGGACATAACATAACATAACATAATATAATATAATATAATTCAA